TCTTCCTTCTGGGCCGCCACCCTTGTGTGCCTCAGCCGGGGCAGTCTTGTCTCTTGTGGGCTCATTCTGTGTGCAGGAATGACTGTTGTGGACATGACAGGCCCCACAGCATCTGAGAGAGGGCTGGGGTGCCTTGGGCCGCATGAGCAGTGGCGGGGAGGGAGGGAGCACAGTGCTCAGTGAGGCACCAGGCCAAGTGGAGAGACTTGGGCAGGCAGGAAGTTGGCGTAGCAGGTGCCACAGGGCAGCGTGGGAAGGCAGTGCTAAGCTATCTGGCTGCGGACGGTGAACTCAGCTCTACTTGGACTAAAGCAAGTTATGTGGATTAAAGACACCAGAAAGGAGATTGAAAAAGAAAAAGAGAAAGGAGATTAGGTTATGATACCAAATTCATACATTGTAAAGAACTTAAAAATGTTTTCATTTATTTTATAAATTTGACTATAGTAATATCTTACTTTTCTCCCTATTATGATGTACCTTTTTGTGTCATTTATAGACACAATTTAAGTCCATATTATATTACTATGTACAGTAGAATTTCCTCATTATAAAACTGCTATGACATATATCTGTCTTAAGTAGTAAGACTTGGGATTGAACCTAGAGCCTTTGCACTGAGCTGTGTGCCTAGTTCTTTTTTTATTTTTTATTTTGAGATAGGATGTTGCTACACTGCCCAAGATGGACTGAAACTGTCAGTCTTCCTGCCTCAGCCTCTTAGAGTGCTGGGATTGTAGGCATGTGCTGCCATGCCTGGCTCCCCTCAAAGTGTTGAAGTTAATGGGAGAGCCAGGCATGGTTGCACACACTGTGACCCCAGCACTCAAAAGGCAGAGGCAGGAGGATCAGTGCAAGTTCAAGGCCAGCCTGAACTCCTTACTGAAACCCTGTCTCAAAAAGTAAAATAAAGTAATGGAAGAAGTCACACATCCTTTGACATGTTCTTGACTCTTAAGCATTTTCAAATTAATAAACAAATCAGATGGCACTAAAGGGAATAGAATACTCACCTGGCATGTATGAGGCCCCTGTGGTGGTTTTTTTTGTCTTTCTTTTTTTTTTTTTTCTTTAATGTGTTGAGACAGAGTCATTATGTGGTCCAGGCTGGCCTCAAGCTGGTGGCAGTCTTACTGTTTCAGCCTCCCAAATGCTGGGATTACAGATGTGTCCCCTCTGCAGCATGAGGCTTGATCTGTAGCACCTCCGCCACAAAGCAGAAACGAAGGCAAAGCGAAGCAAAACCCACAAAAAGATTTCATACTAAATAAATAATGTAATAAAAAACTAAAAGGTGGGGCCAGGGAGTTAGCTCAGTAGAGTAAGCATTTGCCTGGCAAGCTCAAGGGCCTGAGTTCAATCCCTGGTTCTGCAAAAAAAAAAAAAAAAAAAAACCAACAACAAAAAAAAAACCCTAAAAGTTGTCTTTAAAAAGTGGTACTGAAAGATTCATAGTGGAAAATTCCCCTTTCCCCAGAAGTAATTATTTTCAACTTTGAGCACTCCCAGAGTGCTGGTGTGATGGGCCTGGGCCACCTTGCCTGACTCTGAGAAGGCGGACGTGTGTTCCTGGGGTGGGGGGTGCAGTGGCGAATACAGTTGCCATTTGTATTTAGTTTCTGTTGAGTTTTTATTATAGAAAAATGAATATTAAACTCTCCAGCCATTTTCTCTAAGCTCTCTGTATAATTAAGTCAGTATTTTACTAAATAAAAATACTTAGTTTTGGTGCTGTAGATAGCACTCGTTTCAGGCCAGTTATGCGTCATAGTTGCTCTTTCTTTTTTGGGCAACCTTTTGTTTTCCTGGAGTTACTTATTGCTTTAGAAATCTTACACTTTGAGAGCCGGCGAGATGGCTCAGTGGCCTAACGTGCCTGCTCAGGCAAGTGCGCAGGGACCATGGTTTGATCCTGGCACCACATGCGGTGCCAGCCCTGCCCCCAGGGCGGGCTGAAGCAACCCCCGAAAGAAAGAAAGAAAGAAAGAGAGAGAGAAAGAAAGAAAGAGAGAGAGAAAGAGAGAAAGAGAGAAAGAAAGAGAGAGCACTCTTTGCTGTCGGTTCAAGCCTTAGTTTTTCACAAGTATTTCTCTCCCTGAGTGGAAGTTGCCTTGCTGGGGGTTGGCGTACTCCTGTGATCCTAGCTCCTCTGGAAGTCCAGGCAGGAGGATGCTAGGTTTGAGACCAGCCTAGCAATTTAGCAAGAGCCTGTCTCAGAAGACTTCCGACAGGGCCGGGGTACAGTTCGCTGTGGCCAGTACTGCCAAACCCCAAACCCCACCTTTGTGTAGTTTCTCCTGTTTATATTTATCCATGTAGTATTTCTTTCTTTCCACATGCAGAATAAGCAAGTCTGTGTGTGAGTCCTGCCTTCTCTTCTTGCTCTCTGATCTCATCTCGGCCCTCCCCTTGCCACGGAGACCTCTTTGTGCCCCTCCCTGCTGGGCTTCCTGGCTGGCCTGGCTGTTGGCGCTTGCTCTCTCTGTGTGCTGTGCACACTGCCCCGAGTCACTCACATTGTCTTCTGTAGTGTTGTGTTGTCCTCTGTCTCTGTATCTTTCCTTCATATGCTTTGTGGTGATGGGGTGGGAGCTGGGCCACTAGGCAAGCACTCTGCCACTGTGGCACCCGGAGCACATTGTGGCCTTCTCAGACGGGCAGGGTGGTGCAGCCTGCTATCCTAGCTCTCTGGGAGGCTGAGGCAGGAGGATTCTGAGTTGGAGTTCTGCCTGACCAACTTCTTTTAAAAACAAGAGAGGCCTGGGTTTAATCCCCAGTGTGTGTGTGTGTGTGTGTGTGTGTGTGTGTGTGTGTGTGTGTGGTAGTGTAGGGAAGTGAATCGGAATCCCTCTGGTTCAGAGAATGCTACTTTTCTGTCCTGACGTGTGATTAATCTTGCATTGGGAATCATTCCTCTCAGCATTTGGAAGGCTCTGCTTGATTCCCTTCCAGAGTTGGGGTGGGACTTTTGGAATCTGTCACTACTCCATTCCTGTTGCTATGTGATTTGCTCCCTTTCTGTGGCTTATGTCCTTCCACCCACTACCAGCCATGGGATTTCATGAAGATGTGCCCTGCTCCTGGTGTGGGTGAGGTGAGGCCTAGGAGGGAGTTTTAGGTCTGAGGCATGATTTTCTGTTAATTCTTGGAGTTTCTCTATTCCTTTCTCCAAAGAAGGCATTATTTGAGCATTGAAACTTCTGAATTGATCCTGTAGGTTTTTAGTGGGAATAGATATCTTTCATCTTAATCCATCCCTTCTTTTGGAGAGATTTCTTTCTTTTCTTTTCTTTTCTTTTCTTTTCTTTTCTTTTCTTTTCTTTTTTTTTTTTAGGAACCGGGGATTGAACTCAGGCCCTTGTGTTTGCCAAGCCAGCGCTTACTCTACTGAGCTATCTCCCCGGCCCTGAGATTTCTTTTTCTTTCTTTTCTTTTTTTTTTTTTTTTTTTTTTTTTTTTTT